CTCACACTGCTGGTGTGTTGAATTTTTTGACATTGGGTGCTGGCAGATTACGGCCTCCCATTGCTGCTGCCAGGCCCGTAATCTGCCATGGGCCCCCGTACCGACTCCTCATGCTGTGACGTTGCAACAAGGTGGAATTCAACCCTACACATGTTAGACCGCCTTTACGAACAGCAAAAGGCCATCACAGATTTCCTGATGTTAAAAGCGGATAAAGGTACTCCCTGTGTAACTTAGATGTCAGCCATTGGCAGCTCATGCGTGACACCTGCGCTTGCTCAGGCCCTTTGAGGAGGCCACGCTATTCGTGAGTCGGCAGGACTATGGGATGAACGACGTCATTCCTCTGTTGCACGTCCTGGAACAAATGCTGTTAACAATGGCTGGTCAGGGTGCGGTAGACGTGGCGCACAGATCTCAACGCCACATGACCCCTGTGGGGGCAGGACAGGAAGAAGAGGAGGAGGTAGAGGAGGACATTGGTGCTCAGGAATTATTGAGTGAAATGGGTGGTTTTTCCACTCAGCGACAGGAGTGGAGGAGCAGGAGCATCTGGTAGAGGAGGAGGAAGAGGAGACAGAGGACCCAGACGCACCGTGGCAGTCTGCTGTGGAGATGGAGGCAGGGAGTCCCTCGCATTCCTTGGCACAAATGGCCCATAGCATGCTCGCTTGCTTGCGTACCGACAGCCGAATAATAACCATCAGACAGAGGGATGACTTTTGGCTGTCCACCTTGTTGGACTTTCGCTACAGTTCAAAAATGGTGGCCTTTTTCACACCTGCTGAGAGGGAGGCCAAAATAACGTACTATAAAAACCACCTATGTAGTCAGCTGGTCTCTGCCTGTCTGCGCCAACGTCCATCCTCAGACACTGTGGGCCCTGTGCGCTCGCGTTCCGCTGCCATGGCAGCAGGGGAGGGGTGGGGTGGTAGGAGCAGTGGCAGCTCCACCAGCAGCAGCTGCCTCAGTCTGCAGTCGATGATGAGTAGCTTTCTTCACCAGCGCAGTGAGGAAACTACTAACCAGCCGCAGCAGCAGCAGCATCAGGTGGACCTGGAGCAGGACCTCAAACAACAGGCTTAGGCCTACTTGGACAGCACCCTGCCAACCGAGGTAGACAATCCCCTTGACTACTGGGCAACGAAACTTGACCTTTGGCCCCAACTAGCTGAATTTGCCCTTGAAAGGCTGTCATGCCCGGCCAGTAGCGTGGCATCGGAGCGCGCGTGTTTAGTGCGGCAGGAGGTATTGCAACTCCGCGGAGGACACGACTGTCCACCCAAAGTGTGGAGAGACTCACGTTTGTGAAAATGAATCAGGCGTGGATTAGTCTGGATTTCAAACCACCAGTTCCTGACACAACTGACTAAATCCGCCATGAATCATGCCCCTGCCATGTGCCACTTTCAGGTCTCCTCACACACACTGCTGGTGTGTTCCATTTTTTGTCATAGGGTGCTGGCAGATTACGGGCCTCCCATAGCTGCTGCCAGGCCCCTAATCTGCCATGGGCCCCTATACCGCCTCCTCATGCTGCTGCCAAGTCCAGAGTCTCTCATGGGTCCCTGTACGGCCTCCCATTGCTGCTGTCTCCATCGCCACACTCTGCCATGTGCCACTTTCAGGTCTCCTCACACTGCTGGTGGGTTCCATTTTTTGTCATAGGTGCTGGCAGATTACGGGCCTCCCATAGCTGCTGCCAGGCCCCTAATCTGCCATGGGCCCCTATACCGCCTCCTCTCATGCTGCTGCCAGGTCCAGAGTCTCTCATGGGTCCCTGTACGGCCTCCCATTGCTGCTGTCTCCATCGCCACACTCTGCCATGTGCCACTTTCAGGTCTCCTCACACTGCTGGTGGGTTCCATTTTTTGTCATAGGGTGCTGGCAGATTACGGGCCTCCCATAGCTGCTGCCAGGCCCCTAATCTGCCATGGGCCCCCGTACCGACTCCTCATGCTGCTGCCAGGCCCGTAATCTGTCATGGGCCCCTGTTGTCGCTTGTTGGCATATTCCGCTCGTTCAGATGCTCCTTCTCCTGCTACTCCTCTTCACGGATTCCGTCAGCAGTCTTTCTTGGAATCCGTTTCCAAGAGACAACAGTTTGCGAGCACGCACCCGACGGTGCAGAAGCTGAACGTCCTCCTGTCCAAGTTGCTGCTGCCAGGCTCGTAATCTGTCATGCGCCCCTGTACCGCCTCCTCATGCTGCTGCCAGGTCCAGAGTGTGTCATGGGTCCCTGTACGGCCTCCCATTGCTGCTGCCAGGCCCGTAATCTGCCATGGGCCCCCGTACCAACTCCTCATGCTGCTGCCAGGCCCGTAATCTGTCATGGGCCCCTGTACCGCCTCCTCATGCTGCTGCCAGGTCCAGAGTGTGTCATGGGTCCCTGTACGGCCTCCCATTGCTGCTGTCTCCATCGCCACACTCTGCCATGTGCCACTTTCAGGTCTCCTCACACTGCTGGTGGTTTCCATTTTTGTCATAGGGTGCTGTATGGCCTCCTATTGCTGCTGCCTCCACCGCCACACTGTGGCTCCACACTCTGGTTTTGGCCCCGTGACTGCCCAAATGAGTGAAGTGTGTGGTAATTCTAAGATCGACGGCACTCATCTGCATGTCATACTGACTGTCAGTATTATTTCTCTTCCCCAGCAGACTCCAAGGGCATTTAAATTAAAGGTACAGTGTTCTGCACTAATATAAAGTCTCTCTGAAGCCTAGAAACACCCTTTTATAAGTTAAATTCGCAGCGAATATATTCGACTCGAATCGAAATTTTTCCACGAATTCACCAAATCAGTCAAATCGAATTTTTGAATACTTCGCTCATCTCTAATCAATACCATACTTTGTAGACACTATAACTTTCACACAAAGCAATCAATATACACTTATTGGGATTTTTTTTTACCAAAAACATGTAGCAGAATACATTTTGGCCTAAATTTATAACTAACTTTGAGTTTACTATATATTTTTTATAGCTGAAAGTAAAAAAAATCTTCAAAATTTTGGGTCTTTTTTTGTTTATAACGTGAAAAATAAAAAGCGAACAGGTAATCAAATACCACAGAAAGAAAGCTCTATTTGTGTGAAAAAAAACGTAAATTTCGTTTGGGTGCAGCATTGCATGACAGCGCAATTATCAGTTGAATTCGTACAGCGCCGAGTAGCAAAAAGAGGCCTGGTCATTAAATCCTCAGGAGTGCAAGTAGTTAAGTGACTTAGCCCAAAGGGCACCCCCCCCCTCCACACACACACACACCCACTGCCTCCCTCACACTCTCTTACTCTCTTTTTCTCTGGAATCTCAGCTCTTGACTTGAAAAAACCTTCCCAAAAGGGGCAGAGTGCAAACCAGCAATATCAGATAATTCATTAATTCAGGCCCTTATCTTGCTTCTTATCCTTTATAATGATTTTCTGTGATGGTTTTACATGACATTTATTCATATTTCTGTATATTTCACTTGACATGTTGTGAATTTGATGTATCATATTTCAAAGATCTAGATAATATATATTATTGTGCCTTAAATATATGTCCTCGTATACCTCACCAATTGGAACTGTTGAAATTTGGCGACAAAGATAAATCTCCACAACGATAATCTCATAACTTGTATTTCCCATTAATAATCATTTGTAAGCAGCGTTCGTTGTTTCTAATACATTCATTTTTCTTTGTTACACATTTAATGAATGCTAGTACATTTTTGGAAGCATATATTCTCTCCAGTATATATACTTCCGTATCTACTGTCCTTTACATTGATCATGCACAGGGACTTATGTCTGGCATACAGTATACATCTTTTTACACTGAGCATGCCCATCGACCATTTGAGACAGGTTTCTTGTTACACTGAACATGCCCAGGAACTTTGCCATTTCTGAGTTTGTGCCTTGTGTAACTGAGCATGCTCATGGACTTTTGAGAGATATTACCAAATTTGTGGTCAACTGCACTTTTTTAGCAACATCTAAAAATAATCTTCAGCCAGCCTCCCTCAGCTGTCCACACGCAGCACACACCAAACAGCACCACACACCAAACCAGTGCTGCTGGAAAACAACCTTAAAATTAAAAGGAAAACAAATGTTATGCTGTGTTACTAAATGAGACGTGTTGGGTATATGTATCGCAATCCCAAATGTTCACAATATTATCCCCCAAAATGTGTTCGCCCCCTGTCAATATTTGTTGGTTTCACTTTGCAATAGTGGTGTCACCCTCTTTTATTTACAGCCTTTTTCACTCTGATTTTGGTACACATAGCACATTTTGGAGGATAATAGGACAATATTAGTATTGCAATCCTTTGTATTGCAATTCTTTTATTTTCCTTCTTTTAATAAAGGACTTGTCAAAGACTGTCTATTTTTTTTCACACTACAGTTTTTTCTTGTGAACAGGTAGTGGTACCATGTACCCCATACTCATTCACAGGGGCTTCCCAATTCTGATAAGCCCCCCGCCCACAGACCGCCACAACCACAGCCCGGGGGTTGTGAGAAAGAGGCCCTTGACCCCATCAACATTGGGACAAGGTGCTTTGGGGGGGAGCCCATGTGGCCTGTTGTGGTATCTGGTATGGATTTTGGGGGGGACCCCACACCATTTTTTTTTTTTGGTTTTGGGGGTTTCCCTCAAAATCCATACCAGACCCAAAGGGTTTGGTATGGATGGAGGGGGGACCCCGCGCCGTTTTTTAAATTATTTTTTAATTGCCGGCAATTCTTTATTTTAAGCAGAGAAAGCATGCAAACTTCAGGTACTGCCATGACTGGGATTAGAACCCATGACCTGAGTGCTAACCACTAAGCCACTGTAACAGAGTTTGAGCTGGAATGTACAATAGTAACATGATTAACCACCTCCCGCCTGCCATATAGTAATATGACGGACACAAGGTGGTTCTCTCATTCTGGGAGTATGTCATATGACGTCCCTCCCATTCTCACCGCGCATGCGCGGCTCAGGGAGCGCGCAGTGCGAGGATCGGTGGCTCTTTCCGGATCACCGATCACCGAAAGAGCCGAAGATGGCGGCTCGGTCATGTGATCAGCTGTGTCCAATCACAGCTGATCACATGTAAACAGGGAAATGTCAGTTATCAGCATTTCTCTCCTCTCGAGCTGTCACGCCGACAGCTCGAGAGGAGAGCCAGTAATCGGCTTTCCGCGGAGGGGACATGTACACTGATCATCAGGGCACTGATGATCAGTGTGTCATGATGATCAGTGTAGCCCCAGCAGTGCCACCTGTCAGTGTCCATCAGTGCCTTGTGTCAGTGCTAATCAGTGGCTCGTGCCAGTGCCCATCAGTGTCACATCAATGCCACATATCAGTGCCCATCTGAGCTGCCGGTCAGTGCCACCTATCAATGCCAATCAGTGCCGCCTATCAGTGCCGCCTATCAGTGCCAGTTAGTGCCACCTATCAGTGCCTGTCAGTGCCGCCTAACAGTGCCAGTCAGTGCCGCCTAACAGTGCCATGTATCAGTGCCGCCTTTCAGTGCCCATCAGTGATGCCTGTCAATGCCCATCAGTGCCACCTACCAGTGCCACCTAACCTTGCCATATACGAGTACTGCCTTTTAGTGCCCATCAGTGATGTCTGTCAATGCTCACCAGTAATACCTGTCAATGCTCATCAGTGCCACCTACCAGTGCGTCCTCATCAGTGCCACCTATCAGTGTCCATCAGTGCAGCCTATCAGTGCCCATCACTGCAGCCTCATTAGCGCACATCAGTGAAGAAGAAAAATCACTTATTTACAAAATTTTATAACAAAAACTAAGAAAAAATACGTTTTCAGTGGTTTTTGGTTTGTTTAAGAAAAAATAAAAAAACCCAGAGTTTATTAAATACCACCAAAATAAAGCTCTATCTGTCACAAAAAAATGATAAAAATGTCATATGTGTACAGTGTTGCATGATCACGCAATTGTCATTCAAAGTGCAACAGCGCTGAAAGCTGGAAATTGGCCTGGGCAGGAAGGGGGTATAAGTGCCCTGTAGGCTTGTGGTTAAAGAGAATGAAGATATATAATTAGATTGGGAAGTTAGAACTAGACATTCAAATTATTTGAGATATAAGTTTGAAAATGTTTGACATTTAAAAATAGGATGTATGACTTTATGACATTCATTAGGAAATGCATTAGTTAGCCAATCATTTTTGGAGGAAAAAAAAGGCAAGAAAATTAATAGAGGTAACAATAATAGCAGCAAAACACAGAAAATACGCTAAAAAGCCATTAAAACAAGGCACACCTGAGTTTTCTCATCTGGAACACAAATAAATGTGAACAGGACAAAGCCCACGCTTGTGCGCCAACTAGGGACCATATCCGGCATTGCTCCTACAATTATGTCTATTTTGGCAAGAGATTTACAAAGAGAATTCAGTGTGCCTGCTAGATGGTTTTCTGACTACTGAAAGGTTTTAATTGATTTAATTGGGTCTGGCTGAATGTTGAGCATCTGCTGTTGGACATTATTCTTAGTAAATCAGGGCATACTGTATTTCTTTGATGCAATACTAATTAAATTTCACATAAGTAGAAAATCAAATCTTCATTCATGGAACACGACTGCCTCTAGTGCACAGGTAAAAGAACATCTAAAAATAGCAGCGTATTTTGACTGTCCAACCCAAAAGACAATCAACAGACAATGGATCCCCACAGTATTAATAGGAAAGAAAACCCTTCTTAAAAAGCCTTTTGCTTGCTGAAAAAAAGACAAAGCTTGGCTTACTAAACTTTTGCTGGTTGGAGAGACTGCTGCTTGCTAAGGTACAACACTTTTTACCTGCCTACTGTTCCATTTAAAGATCCCCAGAACACTATTCCTGGGAGTGGTGAGATATTGTAGTCAAAGTATCATAACTTTTATTCATTCTAAAGTTAATACTAGAACTATATAACTATTTTTATTTAGCTGTAGTGCTGGTACTGTACATGGTGATATAAACTGCTAATTATTTCATAATTGTATAGTTATAATTATATCGTAATTGTTCAGTCATCGAGATTGGATGGTGAATAGGGAGATTGAGTGCTAATTTATCATATCGAGTTGTATTGGTTGTAGAATAGTTTTCTATTTTTTCTCTATATTGATATGCTGCATATGCATTGTTCTTAGGATGCATTTGAAGTGTGTTTCAGTTTTTTATAATATCAGAAGTAGTTTTCCTACCTATCTTCGGCAGAGGGAGGTGTGGGAAAATGCACTGAATACTGAATTATAATATTTTGCAGATCTCTGATAAATCAAGGGTTTTGTTATTTTACCTTGCTAGTGTATACATTTCAGAAGGACCTAATTGCAATTTTTCGTGGGTTATTCCTTTAATTTACTGGTGATTAGTATTTTCCTACACATGATCAGTTTGTATTAAAACTGGTTAATTAATAAATAATTTATATAAATAATTTATTAATCAAATTGGCTATTTGTATATTTGGTAAGACATCACATTGGTAAAAGAATTCAGGAAAATTACATTGTGGTGATATATTTTATCAAGGCACCTGTATTATTTAATATTATTGATTAACTTAAATTGCCGTAACAGCTGGAGGCACTGGGGTTGATTTACTAAAGCACCTTGTCTGCAAATGGACGCAGTTCCTTGTATGACCGACTACCTTTTAGGCAGAGAAGAGATTTAGTAAAAGACTCAGTCCAGAAATACAAAATAAATGCTCACAAAACAAAATGGTCATGCGAAATTCCCACTGATCCATCAGAGCATTTACCCTGAAGGCCTGGGGACAGTGATTCCTGGTGTAGAACATCCCCAGTTTGCTGTTGCACGGGGAGGCAAACAAGTCGACTTTCGGACTCATCCCGAGGGTCAGTATCCACTTGAAAATTTCTGTGTTGAGAGACCACTTGTGGTTGTCCAATTGAACCCTGGAAAGGAAGTCTGCTTGCGAGTTCTGGACTCTGGGGATGTATACTGTCGATATGTTGGACAGGTTTCTCTGAGCCCAAGCCATGATGGGCTCTACCTCTCACAAGAGGGACAGGCTGTAGGCCCCTCCTTGTAGGACACTACCGTCATGTTGTTGTACCTCAAGAGGACTGATTTCCCCTGTGTTAGGTGCTGGAAGGCCTGTAGGGCACAGAGTGCCACTCATAATTCAAGGAGAATCGACCCCAACCTGTGCGAAGGAAAGCTCCATCTGCCCTGAGCTATCTCTGACTGGCAGAGAGCACCCCATCCGGAGTTGCTGGCATCCGTAGTGATTGTGACCCAGGAGATGGGGGCAATCAAATGGCAATTGAGCAGGTTCTTCCGCTGCAGACACCGAGGAAGGCTCTCCATCATGGAGGGAGATATGTAAATTAACTGGCCCATGCTGCCTGGAATCCACTGTTGAAGAAAGCCCTTCTGGAAGGGTCGCATTCTCCACTGTGCCCACTTCACCATCGGTGCTGTGGACACCATGGTGCCAATGATCGTCAGGTATTGGAGGGCCCGAGGATGTGAGGAAGACAGGGCATGTAGTATTCGGCTCCGGATCACTGGAATCTTCTCCACAGGCAGGGAGATGGTGGCACTGATCATGTCTAAATGAGCTCCGAAGAATATTAAAGACTACGTGGACCCCAACTGGTTTGTCTCCAAATTCAGCAACCACCCGAACTCAAGAAGGGTCAAGATGACGTGGGCTCTGTGCTGTCATTGCTGTCCTGAGATAGTAGGAGCAGGTCGTCTAGGTATGGTGTAGGTGAATGCCTCTGGTTCTTATCAGGGCCACGACCGCCAACAAGACTTTTGAATACAACCAAGGTGACGTTGAAAGCCCAAAGGGGAGACACATGAACTGTAGATGCCGATGGTCCACAGCGAACCGGAGGAATATCTGAAAATCTCTTGCAATGGGCACATGAAAGTAGGCATGCTTCAGATCTATAGACAGGAGCCAGTCGCCTGGCTGAATTGCTTGTTGAATTGTGAACAGCGTCTCCATCTTGAATTTTGACTTCCGAATACATGAATTTAGATGGGTGAGGTCTATGACCAGCCTCTAGGCCCTGTTTCTTTTCAGGACCAAAAAGAGGGGTGAGTGCATGCCCTGGAATTCTTCGACCTCTGGAACCAGCACGATAGTGCCCTGCAGCAGCAAAGAGTCCACGTAGGACAGCAGAATTTCCCTCCTCTCTTCAGAATGTGGAAGGGCCGTAGAGGTGAACCTGAGATGAAGAGGGCTCTTGAACATCCAAGCGTGCCATTAAGATACCTTGTTGACAGCCCAGGCGATTGAAGCCGCCCAGACATGCCGAAAGTGGCGATGGCATGCTCCCACCTGGACTGCCTGAGTGGGCCAAATCTCAAAGACACTGTGGCCTCACAACCTCCAGAGGTCGAGCCCTTGGAGAAGCAAATTTGAGGTCATCCATCAATCTATCATAAGGCACTACTCTTCTTGCTTTCACACAATGCATGACCGGTGAAAGGAGACCCATCTGGTTTTGTGGGTACTATTCTGGGGTTGAGCCCAGGGGGAAAGTCTGGGTTGTTAGCTAGAGGTGTAAGTAGGCCTGGTATTTTTGAGATTGATGTTTTGTGTGACGCCCAGTGGAAGGCCATCAGTGTCGCCCCAATCAAATGATGTGCCTTAAGCTCAACCAGACATGTAGAATATGGGATCCACTGAGAAATGTAAAGGTGTTTTAGAAAAGGTTTCTTCTAGATTTACCCAGTCCTTATTAGTTCTATGACAGTGCCAGTCAACAATCCATGTCAATTGTGTGGCACTATAGCATTATCAAGAGTTGGGAAAGCCTAAAACCCCTCTGGTTTTGGGAGACAGATATTGTAAGCTAATTCTTGGTTTACCATCCGCCCAGAGAAATTTCCGAACTATAGCTTTCAAGTGCTTATAAAAACTAGAGGGAATGGCTATTGGCAAGGTATGAAAATGGTAAAGGATTCTGAGAAGAATGGTCATTTTAACGATAGCAGCTTGTCCAAACCAGGAGAAATATTTGAGGGTCCAAAGAGAAAGGTCTTTATCAATTTTCTTCAAAAGAGGTTGAAAATTAGCTTGGTAGATGTCCATCAAATTGGAGGTTAACCAAATTCCTAAATATTTTAAGGCTTTATGTACCCATTTGAAGGAATTGTTTTGATGCACGAAAATTAGAGTTAGAGCAAAGAGTGATGTTTAAGGTCTCTGATTTATAATTAATTTTTAGGTTAGAAATGTATCCATAGTGGTTGAATGCTTGTAAAAGATTAGAGATGGAAGTGTGTGGTTGTGTTAGAAAGAATAGTAGGTCATCAGTGTAGGCTTGCTATTTTGTACTCTACTTCCAACTTGATAACCAGTGATTGATTGTGTTAGGTTTATGGTTTGGATAAAAGGCTCTAGAGAGAAAATACATAGCAAGGGCGACAATGAGCATCCTTGCCTGGTGCCATTTTTAATCTGGACTGGGGTTAATAAAATCCCATTGATTTTTATTTGTGCCGAGGGATTTTGGTAAAGGGAGGTTATCCACGCTAACATATGAGGTTTCAGGCCAATCAGTTCACAT